GAAGATTTCCTTCTAGAAAGTCCTGTAGTGCATCCCCAAAACACATTTGCTTTGATTTCTGAAGGATCTAGTGGTAGTTTAGCACAAAGTTCCCCATGAATATCTGGGGTACCATCATGCTGGAAGCAGAAACCCCAGCAGGTAAAAAACGGGGACACTTGGAGAAGTGCTGAAGCCAGAAACTGTGGGCTTAGAAGCAGCCTGGACCAGTGCCTCAGGGCTAGCTTGGACACTGGGTCTACAGGCTTCGGGACAGATACTTCTTCTTGCTGTGTGAGCTTGGGCAAGTCATCCATCCTCCTCATGCCTCCGTTTTCTCATTTGCAAGTCTGGGATACAAGTTTCCATTGTGCATTAGGGATATGAGAATTAGAAATAATTTGAGGTACCCCTCAGTTACTGCCTGCTTCCCTCTGCAGTTCTGACTGGGGAAGCTGTGCTGGTTCTGTGTCCCCGAGGAGGGGCAGACACCATCACTTCCAACTCCTTCTGCTTTAGTCCAGTGTATCCCCACCTTCCAGCAGGAATCCACCTGCAGAGTCCCTTCTTTTCCTGCACTGTCAGAGGAAAACCTGCAGGGGGGGATTGACTGCCCAGAAGGGGAGTAAAGAACAGCTGGGGTGAGAGCAAGGGGGCACAGGAATCCTTTGGAGGGAGGAAGATCCCTAAGCAAAGAAAGGCCTTGACCTGGAAAAATCATGGGAAACGTCTTTGAAGATGAGCCAAGGAAATGGTGGTGAGGCCGTGATAGCCTCACAGGGGTGAGCCAGGGGAGTTGGGGCCAGGCTCTGGGTTCGTACCAGGGCTCCTGTGTATGTGGACATTGGGCAAGTTACTCCATCGCCCTATGCGTCCTAACCCCAGCTGTAACCTGGGAGTCCATTATTGAGGAGTAAATGTAAATCTCTGGCCCTATATGACGGGGATCCCCAAGGTGTCAGCTGCTTATTGTGAGAAGTTCTACTTAGGATGAGGCACGGTTCAGGAGGAGAGAAGCTTTATTGAGGGATAGAGAGTGTTCTCATTTTGCAGATAAAGAAGAGGAGGATTAGGGCAATAAGAGAGAACTACTAGCACCAAACGGCGAAATAAAGGCAAGAGAACAAAAACATCAGTGGCAACTACAGGCAGATTCCAGCCTGGCGGAAGAGAGGCTAGCCCGTGACTGTGGGCCAGAGAGTCCTCGGGAAGGACAGCGGGAGAGCGAGAGGAAACCGTCCCGAGCAGGAGGAGGAGGGGCACTCAGGATCCCTCCTGGAAGCATGGAGGGAGGAAAGAAATGAAGACAACCTTGCTCTTCCGCTGTGGGTGCCAGATTATTTAAGCGCTGGTCTTGGCCAGCCCGTGGCTGACTTCAATATTTTTGATATAAAAGATGATCTTTGCTTTCTGCGTGTGTCATCTTATCTTTTGAAGCGCACCCACTCTGGAGTGAGTAAATTCTGGTCACAAGAAGGGGCAGGGGCTTTCCTCGGGGACTGGGTGGTGCTGAGGCCACCCTGGAGCAGGCTCCGTCCATCCTGGTGGGTGCTGAGGGGCTTCCGGTTTGTCCTTGTCCCCAGAGGGCCGTGGGACCTGTGCTGGGACAGCCTGTGGGGGGGGGGGTGCGCAGAAGTTCTCCCAGGTGGCCCCAGGAGCCAGGAAGTGGGGAGTCCAAAGCATGGGTAGCACATACTGTACTCTCGGCCCTCAGAGGTTGCACATGGGGGTTCATGAGTTGAAGAACTTAGAAATCCAACTCCAAGTTATAGCTGCAAGTCCAGGACAGAGGCAGGAATCCTGCAGAAACCCTGGCAGGGGGCCTCCCCGGTGGCGCAGCGGTTGAGCACTGGGATTGCGAAGCTACCTGCGGCCTCTGCGGTGCTGGTTCGATCCCCGGCTTTTCCGCGGCCACCGGAGGGGGGTCCCACATGGTGCGCAGACCTCTCCTGCCGCCCGCTGCTCCCCTCAGCAGTGTACTTCGGTCCTTCTGCCTGCTCTGCTCCCCGCTCTGGCTCTGGTGAATTCTCTCACCCTCCCGCGCTTCTGACTGTACCCAGTGCATGTATAAACAAAACAAACAAACAAACAAACAAATAAATAAAACGTGCCTCTATTAAAAAAAAAAAAAAGAAACACTGGCAGGGCCCCTCTTCTCCCCACTCTGGGGGCAGAGGGGAAAGAGTGGCTGAGCCTCGGGGCGTGCCTCCCCCTCTGCTCCTCAAGAGGGGTCTTTGCCCACTCACCCTCAGCAGAGGAGATGCCCTCGTTTCTGTCTTGTGGTGAGACAGAACAGAGCATGGTGTTGGGTGCTCTTGGGGGAGCTCAATTAGCCGTTCCTCCGCTGCCTCACTGTCAAGCTTGGGTAAGCCCTAAGCCTCCCTCAGCCTGTCCCTCCCTGTACAAATGGGACTTGTGTGTGGATCCGTGACAATGTATGTGCAAGCTGCTTTGTGAAACGGAAGTTGCTATTCAAATGGTAATGTTATTATTTTAAACGTAGCTTCACCATGATTGAACACATCCAGATGTCATTACAGCAAACCCAAGGTCCCAGTACAGGGAGCTCTCTGAGTGGCTTTCATGTAGCTAAGTGTGAAGGAGCTTGGTGCACGGGACAATCTTGGGGGGCAGCCCCCTCCCAGGATGCCCTTGGCTATTCCTATAATTTTTTTTTCCAGCCTGACTGCTGCTCTGACTCTTGGCTTTCTGGGGGTCAGAATCCTGGCTGAGTTCTCATAGATCTCCAAGGAGGCAGATCCAGCCAGGAATGCTTAGCGGCCCTTTAGGATGGCAATTGCTAAGCCGAGCAACCACCTGGCCTCAGATCCTATGGCCCCATCCCCTGCCTGGTATGACTCTAGTTGTGGTTGGGACGAGGCCCTTGTGCCTCTGTACCCATGCCGGCCCCTCCACCTGATTCTCCAGCTGACAAATGGAGCCCGTGAGGCAAGCTGAGACTTCCCTTCCTATCAGACTAGATACTGAGGTCACTTCCTAACTTGGGATAGTTCCCTTCCTCCACTCCATCCATGGGCTGGAGATCTTTCCCCTATGACCTGCTTCAGACAGGCCCAGATGAGTTCCAGAGTTTTCTTTAATTCATGCTCCCTTTGCACTCACACTCCGGCCTCCCTGTTTCTGAACTAGCCACTCCCTGAACAGTTTCTGCTGCCTGGTACATGGACTTTGACTACACTCACTTTCTCCTCTCATGTCCCCTCAAGTAAAATCCCTATTTATCTTTCATTTGACACTTCTTCCAGGAAGCCCTTCCCATCCCCCCCTCCTCTGTTGTAGGTGTTTGGGTGTCTTCACACATGTCCCTCTGCAGCATTGCAACCCCTCAAGGGTAGCCCCCCCATCTCTGCTCTCCCCTCCCTGGCACAGTGCTCTATAGGGGCTCATAGCATATTTAGGGAATAACAATGACTTAAATTGAGAATGAGCCAGCAGGAGACCTTTCAGAGCCCTGTGACCTTCCCTAGAGAGTGGGATGTCAGGCTCTCCCTGGGGTGATGTTCCAAGCACAGGTGACAACTGTCAGGCTGTGACATTGCACAGCTCAGGCTGGGACTTCTGTGCCCTCACCTAGATTCCCCTAACACATTCTATAGCAGCAGTATCACAGAACATTAATAAAATCAACTGTTGGATAAAAAGCACCAGTTTCCAAAGCTTCATTTTGTGCTATTAACTGTTTCAAAAGGAGAGAGATCAATTACAGATAAGATGGAGGGGTGCCGAGATAAATGTGTGCATGGTGAGCGTGCCCCACCTGCCATGGTGGGCCCGGCACTGCCCTGCAGCTGCCCGGGGGCCTTCCTGTGAGTGCCCCCAAGTGCAGAAGGGCATCCTCGGCAGTGTCAGGTGTGGTAACCAGGCAGCAGCAGATGCTTGCACGGTGCCTGGGGCCAGTGACCAGGAATGAGCATCTCCTAGCAACGGCCAGGCCCAAGGCCCCAGCCCTCACCTTCCAGCTCACAGCCTGGTCAGTACTTTTGCCCAGAGAAGTTCTTGGTTGTGATGAACCTGAAGGGCCTCAACTTCACTGGGTATAGATTGGCCCTCCCTGAGAGGTGTCAGGGCCTGCATCCACTGGGCAGCAGCCATTACAGCTGAGCCTGCAAAGCCCTCACCTCCTGCTGGCTTTGTGGAGAGTCTTTGTGGGCTTGGGAGCTGATGTTACTGGCGGGGCAGCCTGGCTCTAGAGAGGGGCCTCCCTTCCCGAGTAAATCCCCTCTCCTCTGCTGTGTGGGTACACCAGAGGACCCAGAAGATGGAGCTCTGCCACTATGCACCTGGGTGACCTCAGGCAAACCAGGCTCCTTTGTGGAACCTTGTGCTCAGCACCAAGTGCCTGGTGGCAGATGAAAGATCATGAATACAGAAACCACTGTGTGCACACTAAAGTGCTGTCCCCACGTGTTGGGGGTGTTAATAATTGTTCCCCCATTGATGCGTCTTAAAAATAAGTACAGAATCCAGGGGTGGAGGAAGAAAAGAAATATCCGGGGCACCCATTCTGTGGATAGCACGCCATTACAGATGATCATCCACAGGCAGGAGAGGAAATGGTGCTCATTGTATACCTACTGTGTGCGAGATACCCTGCTGGCTCTTTTCAGCCAGGTGCTCCAAATTACCCTGGATTGGTGGCCTCCAGGGTCAGGACACCAAAACCCAAGTCCCAGCCCTGCCGCTTCCTCATTATGGGGTTGAGAGTGAGGTACATAGCCCGTGGAGATGGCTCCCATCTCTATGTGACGGGGATGTGAGCCGTACCCATCTTGGAGAATCACTGTGAGGATTATGTGAAGTCCTATGAACAAAAGTCCTGGCACAGCAGCCAGCACAGAGCATTCAGTAAATGGTAGCTGCCATTCTTCTGTTTCCTATTATCACTGGTCTTATTAACCTGCCACCTCCGGCCCCATCTGGTCTTTGCAGTTGGATACTGACATATGGTGGGAGGGGAGGGTTCAAGCCCTTCTCACATGCTCCCTGTTTGTGTCACGCAGGTGTCAGATGCTGACTGGGATGACCTGTGGAACCAGTTTGATGAACGGCGATATCTGAATGCCAAAAAGTGGCGTGTTGGCGACGATCCCTATAAGCTGCACGCTTTCAACCAGAGGGAGAGCGACCGGGTCCCTAGCAATCGGGCCATCCCGGACACAAGACATTTGAGGTACTTCCTCTTCCTTCTTCCCTAGTCCTCCTACCTCCTTCCCCCACCTCCTCCCCACAGCCATGCAGGCTGATTTGCGCTGTGCCCAGTGCCAAGAGAGAGCACACATTTTCTTGTCCATGCTGCTTATTGCTGCGAACCAGCCAGCGGATAGGGTGGGAGGCCTCCTTCACCTGCACCTTGCTCCTCCTCTCTGGTGTCACCATAGGTGACACCTGCCAGGACATCTTGGAGCACTAAGACCCAAGAGCCAGGGCCTGCTTTTCCCTGGCAGGGTGCTACAGCCTGGTCTGGTGTCTGTACTGGAGGAGGACAAGATGGGCAGGCCCAAGGAAGCCATGGCTCTGTCACTGGGAGGCCCTTCCTGTGACAACTCAGACACAGTTTGTCATGGGAGAGAGATGAGAAGCCAGAGGGCCTCTCCACTGCGGGGTGCTGTCTGCTTCAGAGCCTCCCGTATACCCCGCAGCCATCTGTCACCCCCTTGGGCAGGCCACAGCTTCAATGGGTCATAGAGACCTGGCTTGGAGTATTGGGGAAAGCCTGGTTTCCCAGTCAAAGGGGACTCTGTGAAGGCACTTTGCCTCACTAGTGACCCTTCCTGGAGTCAGACTTGCCCTTTGCTAGTGGCAGCTCCTGCTGTTCTGGCCCCCAAGCTGGAAGGCCCTGGCACCAAAGGCCCATGGGGCATGTTTCCTGTCTGCTGTAGGAAACTGACCTCACACTGGTCTTAGGTAGCAGATGGGCATCCTTGGGGGAGAGGGACTTGAAGGCAATGTTACACTGAGAAGCTATAGGAATGGTGTTAGCTTCTTAGAGTTTTGTATTTATTGGGGCCCATGGACCCTGAATTATGGCCAGTGGAGTTTAAAAGCAAGGCATTAAGAATTTTCATGACTAATGAAGCTGGTTAATCTAGAGGTATTTAAGTTGGCAAAATGTGAAGGTCCATGGACTAAGTTTCCCCATTAGGCCTTACAACACAGAAACCAAGTCTTATACAGATCTGTGAACTTACCTGTCCCCTGAGGTTCTCACGAGACTGTTCCATCGCCACAGGGCCTGGAAGTTCTCTACAGCCAGAGAACAGGCAATGATGAACTTACCTGGACACTCCCTGCAGCTGGACTGAAAACTAAAGCCAGAGCTTTCTATTATTTCTATTTAAATTGTCCAGCTTATCATTTACTATCTTGGTCCTTTAGTAACCAAGAAAATTTTCTTTAAATATTGGAATCTTTTATTTTCCTGAGCAGAGTCTACATAAAGGATAACAGGGAAGAGGGAGGAAACAGAGGCTGAGAAGCCTCACTGGGTCTCGGGCAGGCAGTCCCTCCCTTGTGCTGAGTCCACATGCTAAGACCCTCCAGAGACACAAAGCAACAAAGGGACACCCCTAGCTGGCACCTCTGTGTGGGAGCTGTCAGGAAGACATCTGCCAGAGAATGCTTCCCACCAGCAAAAGGGAGGCATTGGGGCGTTCACTGAACAGGCAGGTACATGGGGATATCCTGAGCTGAATTTCTGCATTCTCCCTCTGCTGTGATCTGAGAGGCAGAGATGCATTTTACAAGGGCAGGATGTGAGTGGTGGTAGTGGACGAAGAAGGAAGCCTGTTCCCCAGGACCCAAGCTCACTAGGTCCAGGTCTGGCTTCTACACCTCACCCCTGGTGTTCATCTGTTCGGTAAGTGTGATCTGCTGGAGTTTCAGCAAGGAGAAGGGAGAGGATTTCGATGGAATGCAGACACCCTTTGGGGAGACAAAAGGGGAAAGCGTATATGTGTGCCTTGGCACAAACCTTGCCCTGTGGGAGAAATTCAGATTTATGGACCTTAACTGAAAAAGCAGAAAGGGGAGAAGACAGGGCATTGGGAATGAGGGCAAACACAAGGGACCAGGCAGCCCCTGCAGGGGTGTTGACCACCTACTGTGGGCAGAGCCCCAGCTAGAATGTAAAAAGCCAGCAGTTGGATCATTGTCTCCAAGCTGAGTTTAGTGTGGAGCTGATCTTATGCCTGTATCACCCTTGCAGTAAGGAGGGTTCCAGAGACTGCAGGCAAAATTGGTGTTTTAATCCTCAAGTGGGCCCCATAGGATCTAAACGACCAATCTCCAGGATCTCTCACTTCAGTACGTGCCTCTCAGGATATCTACATCCTCGAGGCTGAAGTTCTACCAGCTAAGCCCTTTAATCCTTCTGTGACCCCAGTCTTGCTGCTGTAACCTGATTTCATCCCCATGCAGCACTTGGGGCTTGCCTGCCTAGGGGCTATTCTTGCACCAGCTGTGACTGCGTGGAAGCCTGCACACCTGGGACTATCAGCAGTGATGGATATTTGGGGCTGGATAGTCCTTTATTGTAGGAAGCTGCCTGTGCAGCGTAGGATATTTATGCCTATGCAGCGTAGTAGGATGATTAGTGCCATCTCTGGCCTCTACCTACTTCAAGTAGCGCCTCCCAAGTTGTGACAACCAAAATGTAGCCAGATGTCCCTGGGGGATGAAATTGCAATGAGAATCTCTGCTGTAAAGTCAGCCCTGCCTGTTACCTGAGTTTTCGAGAATAAAGTGTAAACATGCATTATTAGCCCAATGGGACCAGGCCACGTGTCCCGACAGAATCAAGCAGAAGGTAGAAGCAGGGGTTAAGGACACGGGGTCTGGGATCAGTTCACTGTTTCCAGTCCCTGCCATGCTGAGTAGCTCAGAGGACCCCTCACTGCCTACTTTCTCTGTGTGGAGTTTGCTCTTTTGAAATATAGGAATAAAAATAGCAATAATGCTACCTACCAATTCAAATTTTGTGAAGATCAAGTAAAATATATGAAAAGCACTTCCTTACTCCACAGTAAATAGTCCAGGTATTTTTATTATTATTATCGCAGGGTAATTATATAGGCAGGCTGGTACCACAGGGCCTGGCATGGAAGCAGGGGCTCTGTTTCTTCTGAGAAAACCAAAGATGCTCACTCAGGTAAGAGAGGCATCTAAACCCCAAGTGTCAGAAAGGAGCTCTAGGAGGGCCACTGGGGTTAGGGGCAGGGAGGAACAGAAGTGGCTTTTGAGGTCCATTTGATGACCGAGAAATGGGAGTGAGCAGAAGCTGACCCATGGGCATGGAGTGCTGGGCAGGGTTCCCAATCCGGGCATCTGGAGAGAATCACTTAGGGAACTTTCTAGCAATGTCATTCCCAGACTCCAGCCAGCTAACATACTTCTTTTGAGCTCTCCAAGTGATTCAAATGAGCAGCCAGGGTAATATAACACATTATATGAGGAGCCTGGTAACTTCTGATTCAGCAGGCCTGGGATGGGCTCTGGGGATCTGCATTTCTAATAAGATCCAGGTGCTGCTGCTGCTGGTCCATGGAGAACACTGAATAGCAAGGGCTTAGAGCAATGCTTCTCAAAGTGTGGTTCCTTAAGCTAGCAGAGCAGCCATGTTGGCATTGCTTGGGAACATGTTAGAAACACACCTGCTGAAGCTTCACCCCAGAACCACAAAGTCTAAAACTCTGGGAGGGAAGCTTAGCTCTGTCTTGACGAGCACTGTGGGTTTTTCTGATGCCCAGTCAAGTTTGAAAAACACAGAGCATTTGCTTGCACTTGCCACTTGCTGTTGTGGAGGAACGGCCCAGGGGCGGATGGTGCTGCTCTGGGTTTGAGTCAAAAGTAGAGGCCCAGGAATAAGACCACCCACCTGTCTACCTGCTACAGTCCTCTTCCTCCCTACAGGGCACAGGACTCTGTCACAGCCCCTGTGGAAGCTTCCTGCTTCTCTGGGCCCCTCCCGCCCCTGCCTCTTCCCCCAGTTGGCTCAGCCACAGCTTGTATACCTGGCATGGGCATCACCTTTATCAGAAGCTCCCACTGCATGGCCACTCCTGAACCCATGACCGGGGTCCGGCCTTACACTCCTGGCTCCTTCTTGGGGCCAAACCCTATTAATCAGGCTCCTAGTGGCAACATGCACGGGGCAGGTTCACCATTGATTTGGGCAGGTGGATAAAGGAGTCCTGGAGCCCTCAGTGGATTTTTCAGGCCTTTAATGCTCTCTCAGAGAACCAGGTACACAGGCACACCAGGCAGGGAGGCTGGCATGCAAGGAGGCAGGCACAGACCAGATAGGTGTGAGGGGCTGGGAGGCAGACAGGCAACTGAACCTCCCAGGCCCCCATGAATCTTTACTCTTTTTCTGGACTCTCTCTGGTGTTCTCTCATGGTCTCACTTCTCTGTAGTCATGCCACTGGTCCTCATTTCCCTGGCCTCTAGGCTCAGGTGTGCACACTTACACACGTACACACGCTCATGCTCCAGGTGTCCACACAGACATGCATGCCCCCTGCCCATGCTCCCAAGTGCCTTCTGCATTAACATGATCAAGCGTGCAGGTGACAGCCACAGAGGCTAGTGGTGTAAAAATCTTGACTGATTTCATTTACCCTACAAAGCCTTACTACCACTGGCCTACCCTTGCGTTCCCATCAGGCCTTGCAGCTAAGGTTCTACTAGTCGTGACAGCAGTTGCCCTCCAGGGTGAGTAATGCTTTGACAGCATCTACTACAGTGCCTGGCGTGCAAGTCATTAAATGTGTGTTGAACATTTTAAGGGGGAGTAAGTCTGAAACTGCTCTTCATATCTGCTTTATATGTGAAGAGCAAAAGAGGAGCTGGAAGCAGTCCCCTTCCTGTTATCTTTCTGTCCTCGGGGACTTCAGGTAAGAGATGGAGAGAACAGACTCAGTTAAAAGAAGCCTTTTCCCTTAAAGAATTCTCATTACTGAAAAGAGAAGACTGAAGAAACAGCATGTGGGAGGGGTCTGAGCTTATTAAAGTTGCTTCCAATTTTCTTAGTGCCGTAATTGGATTCTGATTTATAGGACATGTTTGGACAGCGCCTGAAACAGAGAACTATTAGCTGAGCATTAGAGCAAGCGCTGCTGAGCAGGCGACACTGGGTGAATCACTTAGGAGTTTGAAGATGCAGCAGGTGGGGGCCGGTGCAGGGAAGGAGGGCGTCAGTGGGAGTTTCACCAGCTGACCATTGTCTGAACAGCCAAAGGCATTGGTGTGTGGCACCCACAGGAGCAAGGCCTGGTGTGGCCTGGGTGACAGGAGAGGCCCTGGAGATCCCAGGGCTGCATTTCCCTCCGTGGAATAGAACAGAATGGCCATTTTTCTCTTGATCCTTTTCTCATGGCTTCATGTTGTTGATGTTTTTTTGGAGGCAGCCAGGTTTATCTGGAACACAGAATGACCGAGATGAGGAAAAGGAGAAATAAGTCTAGGGCAGGCTTTGAGTACCCCATTCCTAGGGTTTATCGGGCTCACAGCGTGGACAGTGAGTGCTGCTCACCCCTAGGATAGTTTCAAGAGTGTCTGCAGTTGTGAATGGGCCCCCTACTCATTCACCCCTAGAGGTTGATGATCTTCTCAGGCCCGTCCCACCCCTTACCTGATGTTTGACATTTTCACAGTTGCATTTGAAACCTGCTGTCATTGACCTTTAGACATGTCTTTGCTGCGGCTCAGTCTCTTCCCGGATTCCGGCACCACATGAGGAAAGGGGACAGGCCAGCAGCAGTGGCCTTCTGTGAGTCCTTGCTCCTCTCTAGCCTTTGCTTTCTCATCTGCAATTGGATTAGATAACTGTGAATTTTTATCCTTTGCTGAGTTGCCGCACAATTGCAGATCAATTCATTTTTCCATGGCCGGTCTTCTCATTCCATATACATGCAAATACATACTCTTCATTCTCCTATCCTACCTCGGGCTGAACAAAATGTTGTTTAGGGCATCTTCATTCCCAGTTTGCACCTAAGTCCTCACCTCAGCCTTAATTTCCAGGCCTGAGTGCTGTGGGGTCACAAGGAGGAATAAATCATGGCTATTTATTTCAGGCTGTGGGGTGGGTATCATCAATAACTTCTTCCATGTAAGAAAGAGACAGCATCTAGCTTGGGGTAAATCTGAGATTTCCTAGGGGAGTTCTGCTGTTTGTAAAGCATTGATTGGTCCAACAAATAGTTCTCATTTTCCAGTTCTCCAACCCCCACCCTGTCACCACATTCTGGTGACAACAGCTGGATTAGCCATCATTCAAGTAGAGCGTAAACATCTGGCAGACAAGAAACCTTTAAGTGGGGGCACATCTCTCCAAAACAGGGGAAATGTTTTGATAAAGCAAATGTGTGTTTTCGTTGTTGCCTAGCAATCATCCTTATGGGACTGCTTGGATTGCAGGGGAGCAGGTGGCAGGGTGGACCAAGCCCATGAGCTGTGGGCTAGAAGGGGTTAGAACTGGGGACAGCCTCATTAGGTCACCTCCACCTGGCCTGGCAGAGCTGGATTGCTCCCTTCAGCATGTTCTCCCGGCCTTTGTCCAGTGCCTTGCTAAATGATTCAAACAGTGGGATGCCCATTGCTTGCCTGGAGGGAAAATTCCACACTTCGATACATCTCACCAGGAAGACATTTTTCCTTTGCTTCTTTTCATCCTGGGAAATGAGGGGGCAGTGGCCCTGTCTCGGAACGGCTTTCTCCCTCCTTGTATTTACTCAGTTGGAATGGCTGCGAAAGATCATCATCATTTCTCTCCTTGAACTCAGCACTTAGCAGTAATAGGATAAAAATCTTTACGGCTGGAACAGCTAAGCATAAAGAATCTTCATATTGCCTCAGAGTCAAGGCTCTCTCACAAGCTCAGCCCAGAGTGGGTGATTCCACATCAGGGCAGGGGGGAGGAGAGGGGAAACCCATCACAGGCACTTAGCTTTTGCAAACAAGCTCACCCCATCTGCTACGTTCTGGTCCCTTCTGGGTACCATTTTTCAGTCCCGGAGTTTGTGAGCCTGTTGACAGTGGCTTTGCGTGTGCTCCACTCCAGAACATCTCCAAGTTTCAGGGAGCTTTGGGAGGGAACAGCAGGGGGAGCGTCTGAATGTTCTGGAAGTGCTCTCCAGGAAAACTGTAATTGCTGCCTGGACAGCTGTTTGCGGTACCACCTACAGGGCCTCCAAATGGGTTCTCACCAGGGTGAGGAGGAAGAAGCACCCCAGGGGCTGAGACAGCAGCCAGGATTCCTTCTGCTCCTGGTGCCCTGGCCACACATGCTCCTGCCACCGCTGCTGGCCTCTGAGTTTCAGGCAGATTTCCCAGGGAGGCGACTCCTCAGCCTCCTCAAGGAGACCAGTTAAGAAAGCTTGCCGATGAGAATTCATCTGGGCAAATTGCCTTAACTAATGTTTTCTCACCCTTTGCTTCCTCCTTAATTTCACCAACTTTGCCTTTGCCTGGTCTATCTTGTCCGTGCATTCTTTTTCCCTTTCTTTTACTCATTCATCACTCAGTGCTGATCACTGTGTGCTAGGAATGGGGTTCCACTCTCCTGAGCACATGACCGAGTGGCAGGAAAGCACATGGGCTGACTCCCACTGCCCATGTGGACTGCCCTGGCCATTGCCTTGATACAAGAGTTAACACACACACACACATCCTGCCCTCCTTTTCCAAGCCCATCGTCTGCCCTGTCCCTGGCATTAGTGTAGCTCTTTCTGTGTTGGTGTGCCACCGGGAGAATGAGTAAGTTCCCCTAAATTGAGAGGGTGATTTGAATCTGCAGAATAAAGCAGGCTTATCAATTAATCACACTTAAAATCTTCTAAGAGTAGATTACACACAGAGGTCCTGGCACTGGAACAGGTCCTGCTACTGGTGGAGAGGGCTTCGGGGTGAAGCAGGATCCACACCACCTACCCTGCTTAGTATGTGTAAGACTATTGTCATCCAGTGTCCTGGAGGACATGTCACACGTGTCTTTGATCTGAGATGAATAGGATTGTGCAGGAATTGCCTGTACAGCCTACTGCATGTGAAGGAAACAATGGGGAAACTGAGTTTCTTCCCAGGGTCGGGCAACTCTCAGTCACGGGCCTAAGATGGTATTGCTACAGAAGGGGTCACTTTGGTTTTCCTATACTTGGCCTTGGAGAAAACCCTGGGAGTTGGGAGCTTTCCTGTAAAAAGACAGAGCAGTATTAGACTGGTTTGTCAAGGAGGAGTTTGCGTGCTGGTGGGAGGCAAAGGCTTCTGAAGAAGGGGGTGTCTGAGCTGGAACTGAGGAGAGGGAGGATGTTAGCAGGCAGGTGGCATTCTGAGCTGGGGGAGCAAAATCCCCAGAGACTAGGAGGTGGAAGAGCCCTTCAGGTGGAACTCCTGGAGGACTGGGAGCTCGTCCTGTTTGCCTGGAGTGTGGATGATGGAAGGAAGGGGTGGAAGGGGGAAATATTTCCAGAAGGGAAACTTAGGGCCACATAGTGGCAAAATCCTCAATTTGGGAATGGGAGTAGACACTGGCAGACCTTCCCTCTCACAGCAACCCCAGGACATGCCCCAAGCATCACATCCCCGACCGGCACCATTTTCTGGGCGCTCCTGCGCAGGAAGGGGACCCGGGCAGCGCTGGGCTGGGCAGCAGTGGTGCCCCCGGCTGGTACCGACACCACCCCCACTGCCTCCAAGGGAAGATGGGCGACAGAGCAAAACCCAGCGTGGCTGAAACTGGGACCAGCACTTGGGGAGGAATGTGCTGTGGGATCTTGGCTTTAAGGCACGGGAGTCCTGGTCTTACCCTGGGGGGTAATTTTGAGGTCAGGGAGAGATGACCCACAGGAGCTGGTTCTGAGGGAAGAGCTGGTGAGGACCTGGGAGGGTTCTGTCCTTCTCCCCTGAACTAACTGCTGGTTGTCAGGCTTGAGCACTAGCGCTGGCTGTGGGGTTGGGCAGAAGAGAGAAATAATCACTGTTATTAGTGATTATGAGGCGAGGTTAGTAAAGGAGCTTTGTTTTCAGAGTCCTAGGGGAGGACTCTCCCGGGGAGCAGGCCAGACAGAGAGTTCTGGTCAGTCTCCCAGGTTACCAGTGAGAAAACACTCTCATTGTTCCAGAATAAAGTATTTGTTTTAGAAGCAGCCATTGATACTCGATCCTCTGTCTTGTCCCTCCTCCGGTCATTCTTCTATGCTCTTTGCCCAAGAACCAAACCCAAAGCCTGAGTCTTCGTTCACCCTCCGTGACTTGCTTTTTGTCATTTTGTCCCAGTCTTGGTGTGATACAGGGGGCGGTGAGGGCCGCTGGACCAGGCATGAGAAGGCTGGATCCTATTTAAGAGGGTGCTGACCCTTCAGCACCCTGCGTGTCCATTTCCCCACTGGTGAGAAGAGAGAAGCAGATCAGAGATGGTTATTAAGGTCACTTCCAGCTCTGTCTTCTGCCGGTACAGACGTGCGGGAACTGACTCAGGAGCTGAATCAGTTCGGAGGCTATTTCCAGAAGCCTGACTCCTTCTGCTCCGCCACCCCTCCCCTCCCCAAGGCCCTGGATTAATCTTTCCCCTCACACCCTTCCCTTCCTTGCAGCTCCAGGTTCCTGCGGAACCATTAGAGCTGTCCTTGCTTATTGCCACCTCGTCCATTTCCTTGTGCAGGCCGTGCGCACCCCCTCACGCCTTCCACTTGGCGTAGGTCTCCAGACCCCCACCCAGCTCGAGAGACAAATATGAGCTGGTTTGGTGCTGCCTTTGAGTGTATCAGAAGCCCCAGAATCTATTAAAGCAACTACAGCAGAACTGTTTGCTCCTGGAGCTGGCACATCCTGTGGCTGGCAGCTTGACTGCAAACTGGTGACCTGCCCATGTGTCTTCATCTAGAATAAGGAGCGGAACAGACAGACTTTTTCCCTTGAAAGCCCAGAACACCATCTCCCCTGGTGACTTTAAGGAGCCCTGACTTGGTGTGAACTGGCACATCTGCTTCTAATGCCAGAAGGAAACAGGCCAGCAAGGGGCGGGAGGGGCCTCTGCGGTGACTCAGGGCACCAGGACAGTTCCTCACTAGTAGCGTGAACCTTGCGGTGAGACCCCAGAATAAAACTAATCATGTGGTATGTTTATGAGGGACGCAAAGCGTCCGCACATCCCTCACATGATGTCCTCGGCAGCCCTTGGCTGGAGGGGCTGTCTCCATTTCACAGGGGAGGAAAAGGAGGTGCAGGCAGGGCAGCTGGCGGACTGAGTGGCAGGGCTGGGTCTTCTTGCTCTGTTGAGCTTTGAGCTAAAACATCCCTACCTCTTCCTAACTGGACCTTGGGTGAGTTACTCAAACTCCCCAAGTGTCCATTCCCTCACCTGTAGAATAGGGATAATAATGGGACCCAAGTTTGTATGGGGGTGAGCAAATCTATATCCCACATCATGATCATCATCTTTAGTGCTTAGCATGCACTTGGTGACCGATCGCTGCGGTTCGTGGTCCTGTGGTTATCAGTACCCGACCCACATTAGCTGTTGGGGCTTGTGATCTCCCCACTGCTCTGCAGCTGGGGGCCAAGGGGCGCCTGCAGGGCGGGGCAGAGACAGTCTCAGCTCCCGAGGAGAAGAGAGGGACCCTGGCTCAGCACCCTGTCCCCCCAGCCCTGAGCTGGGGTGCTGTTTGAGAACGAGGTGGGGCAGGTTGGAGGGGCCTGGGCAGGGAAGTTCGGCAGAGAGAGAGCCACCTGCCTCAGCCTTGGCGCCCAGCTCTTGATGCTTCACTTGCCTGAATGTCAGACTTTAAAACTGGAGTGCAAAATAAGCAAGGAGGCAATTGCGATGCCGTGTCTGCCGAAATTTGTGCTTTTAAGATACCAGGGACAGAAGCCAAGGCCAACAGAGTGATTTAAGGGCCGGGGGCCAGGAAGTACAAAATGTGTTTGACAAGAGATGAAAAGAGCAGGAAAGGAGATGGCAGCTGTGGGTGGGAGAAGCTGTGGCGACGAGGCCGCTGGCGCCGCCGGCCGTGGTGACAGACAGTGGGATGGAGCCGTGCGAGCAACGGCCGAGGGCGGCGGGGAAAGTAGCTGAGGAATGTGTGAAGTGAGGAGAAGAGCTCTGTCGGGCCGTGGAATCGTGTACCAGCTGGGGTCCATCTGGGCCGGCATGATCAGCGAGTGTCCCTGCCTTGGTGTCCCTGATGCAATGCACCAAGAGAGTGTGTGTGTGTGTGAGATCTCTCTGTACACATGATATTTATAGATGATATATGACATATATATAAATATATTCATTTCAACAAAATTTTTCATTCCTGGCCTGCCCTCACCTTCTGCCCTGGCCTGATTCTCACCGGAAACTGGGCACCGCCGACATCCATATATCTGTTCTGCGTCCTTCCCCATACTTCATTCACACTCCCCGATCATGACACAGATGCATCGTTTACCCGTTACCCCAGGCCTCACTGAGCCTGCCTATGACTCCCCCCTGCCCCCCCAGACCTCCAGCATCCACCTTCTCTCAGGCTCCATCTCAGGGCAGGTTTACCCTTTGGCGGGAGCCCAAATCCCTGGAGGCCTCCTCTCTCCTGCCCTCATGGAGCCTGCCTCCTGGACAACTCTTGGCCCCTGAACTTGCTGTCACCCTCGCCTGCTGTTCCCTTCCAGCCTGGGTAACTGCAGCCTGCAGCCCCCTCCTCCTTGGCTCGGGACCTGCAGCTGTCGGTCCACACGGCTCCTCCCTGGAGGTGCTTTCCAGACCAGACACCTGTCATCCTCCCTCTGAAAGCCTTCAGATGTCATCAGTCCTGCCCCCCCCCCCAGGTGCCTCCCTCCCCAGGGCTGCCTGACTGTGCGCAGGGTTGCTGCCTTCTCATTTTTCTTCTCTCTGTCTCTGTCTCTGAGCAGATTCTTCTCTCAGGAATCCTGCTTGGGGTGGTCCCCTCTCCAGGAAGATATCTTGTCCCCTCAGGGGCACCTGCATGCTCACCTCTGAGCACCATCTTTTACCCCAGTGCAGGCATCTGTGTGCTCCGTCTCCCTTGGCAGCCTCAGGCGGCCCCGGCACCCCTGGGGCGGGGATGCTGCCTGGCACCGTGGCTGGCATTCACTCCTGTCAGTACCAGCTGCGTGAATGTGGACTCAAAGAGCACCTCGGGGCTTGTATTCTCAAGCTCTCTCTGAAAACATCAGGGTTTGGGAACAACTCCTCAGAACAGAGGGAGAAAATCAAATCACAGGAAATTTATAAACCACCTTCACTCAACAAGGAATTCTCTGTGTTAGCACATAAATCCAGGCCATAATCAGCCAACATTTATTGATCATGCTATTCCCCTGACGCATGGTAGGCACCTTATATATGTTCTCTCTGCTGTCTCACAGCAACGTGGCTCGGTCCTGGCTTTAGAGGTGAGGGAATTGACTCCGGTTGGCTGAGTCACTTGCCCAAAGGGATGGGAAGAGGTAGGGAAGTGGCCCCTGCCCACAGAGAAGATGGCACAGCTGTGCAGGAAGGGGAGTCGTCACAGTGGGCAGACAGAAGTGCGAGGAGGAAGCTGACAAGGGCCAGACTCTACAGGGCAGTTACAACTGGTGACCCTAGAAAGCAGGACCTGGGAGTGTGTGTGTGTGTGTGTGTGTGTGTGTGTGTGAGGCTCCTGCAGGGTCCTGGGGCAGGGCTGGTGGGGGAACACCCTGGTGGAGACCTCAGGCTGGGTCAAGGCTCAGTTCCAGGTGGCTCCTGAAGGGTGGGGGAGGGGAGAGGAGCCTTTGTGAATCAGAAGATACCTGTGGAAAGAGGGAGCATGATGAGGGCGAGGTGAGGTCTGCAGGCAGGAAGCACAGTCTGGAGCTATGACAGTTGGGCAGACCAAGGGTGTGGACTTTGACAGATGAAAGCGGGAATAAAAGAAAATGGTGGCAGGACCATCTGGCGATGGTCCTGGAAAGCTGTGGGAAGACTTTACCTTTTATGTTTTTATTTTTTAAAAAGATTTATTTATTTATGCATACAAGAGCTGGGATACAGGCCAGAGATGCAGGGGGTTGAGCGGACCCACCAGAGACAGAGTGGGGAGCAGAACAGGCAGATGCACTGAAATACACTGCTGAGGGAAGCAGCAGGCAAGACAGGAGAGGTCTGCTGCGCCATGCGGGTTGTTTCCTGGCTGGGCGGGGATTGAACTCGTGCTGCAGAGGCTGCAGATTGCTTCATAGTATGGTGCTTTAACCCCTTGCTCCACCAGGGAAGCCCAAGCCTTTGCCTTTTACCTCCCCACCTGAGATCCTCCAGAGGGCCACAGCACTGAGTCTCCTGGAGAAGAGATGCTGAACACTTAATTCAAGCAAGACCCTTCCTGTGCTGTGTACTGGGTCTGGCCATCGAAGGGCCTCTAATGGGTCGTTTGAGGGACAGAAAGGGGAGCCAGGTCATCTGGCTTTCTCTCTAGTCTCGGCCGCTTACTCACTGTAACCTCTCTCCTCCACAGGGAGGAAGAGCCACTAGACACAAGCTCCATCCCCGGAGCCACTAGATACAGGTCTTATCTCAGCTGCTTCAATTTGAGGAATTTTTCCCTCATTAGTTAAAAAGAGGGATGAACTCTTCTCTGATCCTTTAGCTGGGAAATCTAAGAAATATCTGGAAATAGCTCAGGGAGTTATTAAGGGGAGACATCATTCGTTAGCAAGTGAGGGACAGCCCAGACTTGTGATTTTCCATCTTTCCAGAACTTTCCAGCATGCAGCCTTTAAGATCAATGACCAAAGAGCAGAAGAAGGTCAATCTGATAAAGTAAAGGTTGGAGAGCTGGTGAACGGATGACCATCAAAGGGCCTCTAGTGGGGCGTTTGAGGGACAGGAAAGGGAGCCAGGCCATCTGGCTTTCTCTCAGGTCTCTGCCGCTTACTCACTGTGACCTTCTCCTCCACAGTGAGGGGGCAGGAACCAAAGCTCCCACCTCGCACAATTACTGTGTACATTAAATGCTCTCAGAAGAATACCTGAGACATAGCAAGGGTTCAACAAATGTTACCTATTATTACTCTTGTGTAGTGTGATTCAAACAGAACTAAAATAAGACTT